TCTTCAGCCTCTCATTTCATCTTCCACGTGACCCTCTGGTAGGATCCCTGATATAAGGTGGGTGGAGCCTAGGAGAGAAGGGAGAGTCATTGTGTGCCTTGGACAAGAGGTATGTAGCAGGGCTGAGAGAACTGTGTTGGTTGCCACCTTGTGGGCTTCCCCACGAACTCTAGATTGTACCAGAACAAATAAGTGTATTGGGTTGAAATCTAAAGTGCCTTGTTCACCTTGCCAAATGTTAAAAAAGTTGGACTTTACTTCTTGTGGGAGTGATGTTATTCAAAAGGGCACCTGAGGCCTGAATGGAATTGTGAAAGATAGGCTGGTATACAGTTAAGTCAAAGGCAGCTGGACTGGTACAACTCAAGAAACATTACACGTTGCCTGGTGGACAGGATTCTGAATAAAAGGTACACTATGTAAATTTGGTTGGGTCAGGAGTGGTGGTACTCAGGGAAAAAAACTGCCAGCAAGTTAGAACAAAGAGCAAATGTGAAATTCTGTGTGGAACCCATACACCTAAGTTTCAGCATCGTTAATGATCCTTGACATGAAGGACGGGTCATCCACAACATGCTGACGGAGTTCTCGGCAGACTTTGACACAGTGTTCCTTCTGCTCCTGGGTCAGCAGCCTGTGGACTGGGGACCTGGCCATTGACAACACCTCAAATGACTCAATGCAGCATCGCCATAAACTTGCCGAATCATGTCAAACGTCTCTGTGGCAGATTTCCCGTTTCACGCAGAATTTCAAGTTTGCTCTTTGTTCTAACTTGCTGTCCATGATGAGATAGCTGATGTGGTAATGCACGTGGTCAGAATAGCTCCAGTTGCACAGCTCCCACTGTACACAGGACAATGTTTTTGGCACACTGACTTATCAAGGCCGGTGCTCCCTATTACTGTGCATGCAGCCCTGTGCTGCTATCTGTTGGTGTGTTACAAAACTAGTCTTGAAACTTTTTGATACCACATCAGAAAAGGTAACAGTATCTGGCAGCAAAGACAACGTAAAAACATTTACGCAAAGTGTAATAGCAGAAGAGGGAATAAATACCCTCCCAGCAGCCAGCATCAGGGGAAGACCAATTAGTAGAAACTGCTGGCAGCTGGGAGACACCCACTGGTGGACACCGAAACTACAACCTTCTGCCCTGGGAAGCACAGTGCAACCAGCGGGTAATCCAGTTTCTGACATTGCCCTCCTGGCAGTGAATTGTGGACCCCTTTACAGAACACACATCAGGTGACCTGGGCTGGAGGGTTCTTGAGATCATGCTCATGTAATGATGTGGCACTGCTCTGTGCAGTATCCTAAGGTCTTACCCCAGAGAGCGGGTCCTTGATGCCCACAGCTTACACAAAGTGGGTAAATTGGTGCTGGGAGTCAACCCAGAAGAAGAGCATGATGGATTTCAGAGCAGTGAGAGTGCAAGGGTCATCACCGAAGAGGAGTAAATATTTCAGCTTTTTTGTTTTTTGAAGGTCTGGGCAGTATTTTTTTGTTTTAATATAAGCTAGAATTGGGCTTTAACTGAACCCATAAAGTGTCTTAGAGCCCATTCACACTAGAGTGTTGTGATAATGCATGCTATGAGAGTTTGTGTGCTTTGGTGTCATTCACTGTGAATGGCATCCCATTGCACCTCCAAAACACACAGTGCAGTCTGGGGTGTCCTGTGCATTACACTACACTGTAAAAAAATACAGCCTGCCTTAGAGTCTCATAGCGTTTAGATGAATTTCATTAATTTTGAACAGGCCGTTTAATAGTGCATGGTGTGCAACACATATTAATGAATGATGTGTGTAATATTTTTGTTTTGGATAAATGTGGGAAGAATTAGAACTTCATATAGTTGTTGCCCTTGTTTGGGAGATCTCTTGTTACTTCCTATTGCATCCACTTTACCAGGTTTCCAGCAGAGCAGGATATTCACTCATCACTGTTCATTCTAAAAATGCATTCTCAATAGTTCTATAGATGTGCATTCTCCTAGTTTTTAAACTAGCCTGAAAAAAATGAGTAAGCAGCATGCATGTCAAAAAGAGTAAAAAGGATGCCATATTTCCTGGGCTGTATTTAGACCATATGCTGCCCTACACCTGCTGGCCACACCTGATTATTGACCATATTATAATTTGTGAGGGATTTGGTCATAGCCTGAGTTCCCCGCCTACAACACCCCTCCCCAAATGAGGCGATTGGTTCTCTGCTGTAAGGAGACACCCTGCTGAGTTCCTAGAAAAAGGCTGTTATGCTTGGAGCAGTAAGTTGAAGTTGAAGAATTCTCTCTTTTAACATCAGAACCAACTTGGGAGATGGTACCTTTTTGCTCTGAAACTTTATCTGCTTAACCCAGGACTTTTGGCAAGTACTCTACCTCTCTAAACATCTTTTTGTTATCTCTTTGCTGTGGTATTGCTCTCTGTTTTTATATATATATATATATATATATATATATATATATATATATAGGCTACATCTTTTTCTGTAAATACGTTTATTGCACCATTTTGACCTTTTTAGCAATAAATCTTATTTTCTGAAAAGTGTTGAACTGTTTCTAAAGCTCTTTAATGCAAACTAAGAATCCCTGTCTCTGAAGAGTGCTACTGTGTGTTTTAAACCTCTATATACCTCTGCCTGCGGTGACAGTGGTATACAGACGATTATTCAAACATCATAGTGTTATTGCTAATATTGGCGAGTTTCCTCCTTTTCTCTACAAAAAGGCGGTGGTGGCAGTGTGAAGGGTTAATTGCATAATTAACCTGACCCAGTAACAATCGCTCTCAGGCTGCAGGTGCATAGATTGTGGTCCAGTAAGCTGGAAAATCTTTGTTCAGGGTGCAGCTGAGCGTGGCATTGTTACGCACGTGACATTGCGGCTTTAGATTGGCTAGTCCTTCGGTCACGAGTTGGTGAGAAGGGCGGGGGGTCTGACGCCGTGATCGTCACAATCTGGCATGATTCAAACAGTTTAACAGTTTAAAATGTTACACTAATAATAACATTTATTTTTTTATTTTACAGAAGTAAGCAATGTCTTGTTCTAATATTCAGATATCATGGCTGCCTTACAGTTTGGGCTTCATTGTGGGCTTTCTCATTACATTCTACTGGACTAGTGAGAAATTTTACTTACCGCTTTTACTATTCAACCCAACACCGTATCGGAAGTCAATGACCGATTTCACTCCAAAACAAGGTAGCTATACAGTTCTCATTGTTTACTGTAAAATAGGTGTTTTGTAATCTAATGCAGATACAGAACCACACTCACCATTTACTGCAGCACATTTAATGAACTGCAGCTTTTTTCTACAGTAGTTGCCGGTTGCTTCCCAAAGGTGTTTTTGATGTCCTAGCAATCCCTGGTGGAAACCAACAGTATAGTTTTCAGAAAGAGATTAGCAATGGCAGCCCTAATGTGTCTCCGAGGAAAGGTTTGCTTCAAACCAGGCTCTATGATTGCATGAAAGAATGACTCTATACTTAAATGTGAGAAGTTTGCATTGAGAGGTCAACTCCACACACAAAAAAAAAAGGTTTTGTACTCACCATGGAGTTCTGTTCTCTGAGGTTATTGAGAAACACAGCTATGTTCATAAGATGTGCATCAGCATAGACTCCCATTTAAATGGTTCGAATCTCATCCGGTTAAGCAGTGACCAGCTCAGCTTTGAACCATCTATGGACAGGCTGATCGTTGCAGGAAAGAAGTCCAGACACAGAAATACAATTTTCTTTTCTACAACCACAGAAAATCGCTTGTTTCCCCTATCAACACAGTCAGTGTTGATGGAGTCACTCCCACAGAGCTATTGTGTTCTTCCAGAAGGGGGGGGGGTGGCTCGGGGAGCCGTCCCTGCCTGGAGAACACAGTAATTATTGTTAGATGCTATAGCAGCTGGCAAGAATTGCATGTAAAAATCAGACATGCTGGTAGTATCCAAGTCGTACAAAAATCAAATTGGGGACCATCAGCCTGCCCACAGATGATTTGAATCTCGGCCAGTCCTGCTTAACTGGATGAGATTCAAACCATCTATGGCCAGCTTTGTTTCAGGAGGCTCTTTCTCATAAGAATCCATCTAACCAAGACTTTGGTCAAAACATTAAAAAAATTCTAACCAGTTTAATCGTCTTTTATGCAGATAACCATTGTTAACCAACATCTCCAGTGATCAAGTGTGTAATGGCACATATACACAATACGAAAATCGGACTAAAATTCCTGTAAAAGAAGCAATTGGTCCATTATCTGACTGTTAGTATAGTGATTTTGACAGGCGATTCTGACAACAACTGAGAGTGCAAGCTAGAAATAGTTTCTCATATGTGAACAAACGTTCAATTTTTTTTCTAAATGTGTACAGTCATCACACAGAAATATTCGAATATAAACAAATATGCATGATCGGAAGCAAAGAACACCTGGAAGAAGTTGAACGCGAAAAATAGCAATTGTATTCATGAAAGATCTTTCGTATCATGGCCAATTAAATGTTCTGCTGCTGATGATGACGATGATCTTTTTTTAAAATAAAAATATAATTTTTATTTCTTCTGTTCCTATGTGAATTACTGGTCAATATACATGATTCATGGCGTTTTGATTAAGTAACAACAACACCATTATCTATGTTATCCATGTTTTTAATAGTAAAAGAGCAAACTAATTTTGGTACCCTTTTTTTTTTTAAATTGAAATCATAAAGTTATATCATCTATGTAGCGACCTAGTTGATAATCTAGCAACGCAAAAGATAGGCAAGTGTTGTGCTCACAAAGTTTATTTGTCTAGAAATTAGGAAGCATATATAATTTTCAAACATACAAACATATGTTCCTGAGAAAAAAAATTGCAATTAGTGCTAAAATACAAAAAAAGTGCCAACAATCATAAAAATAAAGTACGGTACATAATTCACCAAATAAGTATTGTTACAGGTGTGTGTAGTAAAAGTCTTGTGACCAGGATGGATGTGGGCAGGGGCGGACTGACCATTTGAGCACTCGGGCACTGCCCGAGGGCCCGGGGTCAGTAGGGGGCCCCATGAAATGCCCCTGGTACCTTTTTTATAGGCTTTTTTGAGTTTGGCCAAGGACACAGGGGCCCCATGATCCCCTATTGCCTGGGGGCCCCATGAGTTGTCAGTCTGCCCCTGGATGTGGGTGCTCAGGTGCATGATATTTCCACTGATGACTTTATCCAGGGCTGATCACTCACATGTGATTGCTGCATGAACAATTACATATGAGTTGGAGTGATTAGCTGCGAGAGCTGTCAGCCTCCCATTACTTTTAATCGGGCTTCCTACTTGCAGCTAATTGCAGGAACACCCACTGGGACTTTCACAGCTGATACCAGACAGGGTGCAAGTGGGAATGCACCCATACTGTGCAGTTCATGTTTCACAGTCCAAATGAATGTAGCATTCCCCAGAAAAACAGTCAGCACTTGCACAGGTTACTGCTTAAAAGTTTATTTCACCATTTAAAATAAATTACAAACTGTTTAGTTGTATCAGACAAACATCTTATATTAAAGCAGATGTAAGTGCTAACAGTTCTTCATTTATTCTTTAACCTCTTGGCGCAAATGTGCGGCCTCTCGGCATCTGCACTTTGACGCCGAGTAGCCACACATTTGCGCGCAATTAAGAAAAACATATGTGCTGAGAGCGTGTGTCCTGCGCGCTCCCAGCACACATGTCCGGTACTCACAGAAAGGTCCCAATCTCCTTTTGCGATCGGGACCTTTCCCGATCATGTGACCGCCATGACAGTGAATCACGGTGGTCACATGACCCTAAAAGCCCACCCCCGCCTCCCGGCTTCTAAAACCCTTAAAAGGCTGGGAGGCACCGGCACCAAGGGGTTAAGTATATGTGAACCCTCATGTAAACACAACCCATTCAGTTTAAAATGGAAATTAAAATATATACATTTTTTTAAAATACATTCTAAATATCTTTTTTTTTCCTCTTTTTTCATAAGTGATCACATAAACTGTGTTCTCAGTTGCATAATGAGCTTGGAGAGTTGGGGGTCGAGGAACAGCAGTGCACTGATCTTCCCAGTAAATGGCTTTGCACAGGGGGCATGTCAGCACAAGTCTTGGCCATTGGAGGACAGGCAGACTGCTCTCCCAGCACAGCCAGAAAACTGACCACACTGGGATGGATGAGCTTCTCTAAATAGCTCAGTCAGTTTGAAATAGGAAAGCAGAAGGACTAGAAGAATCACCAGGTATTTCACGGAAAGGAGGTAGGATACTTTTTATCACAAACAAATGGAACAATAGACATATATCAGGAATATGAAAAGTTGGAATAACAATTCTTTAAGGTATATGTAAATACATTTTTGGTTTCAGGATTGGATCCCCTGTCAAGTTGTTCTGTGTCTGATCCCCTACTCAGGGGAATTCACCCCTTTATTTGTTCTGGTGATGGCTGTCACTGAAAAGTAATTGCTCCTTCACTCTGACAGCCTGGGGTGGGTAAACACAGACTGCTGAACCCTGGTTTCACCGCAGCCATGGCATTTCTAACCCAGGCTGCAGAGTTTGACAGGCAGCATTACCTATCATACTCGCCCATTGAGAACCCTGCAATGCTGCACTGCTGTGTCACACTCACATGCACTGAACGCGGTTGCACATGGCCCCATTAAACTTAGCGAGTGAGTTTAATAGGTGGTATGGCCTGTCAAACTCTGCATCCCGAGTTAAAAAATGCTGTGGTCATGAAACAAAGCATTGCAGCTGCGTCATTTGTACAGGGGTGGGAGGGTTGGGGGTTAAATCAAGCTTCAGCCACCTGTCTGAAAGAGCACTTAGAGGTGACACCAGAACAAGAGGTGAGATGAACTCATTCAATGGGCCAATGGGAACAAGCATACCAGTGACAACTATGGAAATTCCTCCTATTTTTGGGAGATCGTGTCTCAATTTCTGTTGGGTCACCAAGACAGAACTGTAGGGAAATCTCCCCAGCTGAACACGAATAGTAAAAATATAACATGATAATGGGTTTAACCCTTCCCTACTCTATTAAGTAAAAAAGTTGACTATACATGTTGATGGCACAAGAAAGATTTGAGGTAAAATTATCTGTGCTTTTTCCACACCCAGGGATTCACAGGTGGTGCGTATAGCCAGCAATAAAAGTGCATCGCTGTATGTGCTTGTACCAGCGTAAACTCAAATGCTCTTTTGCATATAACGTATTTCCCAAATACATACAATTTATGTCACCTGAGCATGTGCGGGTAAAATTTTTACTGTAATGGTCTAGTGACTGACACAGTGACTATTAATGCAGCATTTCTTGCCCATAGTAGATACTGTTTCCTAGGAACGTTATCTTTTATTATACTTTGGTGAACCTCTGGTATTTGATTACTAAAATTATTCCCCCCCCAAAAAAAATATAGGGCTAGACTAGAGTGTAGGTTAGAAAATATGTTTTCCTGGGGTTTTAATAAATTTGTACTTAACCCAAAATGAAAACTAACTTTATATTTCCTTAAGGTCAGTAATAAATATAATCCACTGTAAGTACAGCTCATCCAAAAAGATAATCTGTAATGGGCAACTATACTCAGCAGCTAACCTCCTTATACTCATACCCTGACTAATGTGTGGAGACTTAGAAGCGCACTGAGGCACTTCTGAATCTGCATCCCTGTGCGTCTAAGAGCATAAATACCGTAAGCAAATGGTACCAAAAAGACTGGTGTAGGGTGGGTGTTTTATTCTTGTTAACAAGTTTATTTAAATATCACAGATAGCAGCGTGAGTGAAGAGCTTTCACAGAAAGTACGAGTGTTGTGTTGGATCATGACAGCACCAGATCACCTACAGACTAAAGCCATCCATCTGAAGAACTCCTGGACTCGTCACTGCAATAAAATTTTATTCATGAGCTCCACTGCCAATGAAAGCTTCCCCGCTATCGGTCTGGACACCCAGGAAGGAAGGGACCAACTCTACTGGAAGACCATTCGTGCCTTCCAGTATATATACAAGCATCACTTTCATGAAGCTGACTGGTTTTTAAAGGCAGATGATGACACTTATGTAGTGGTGGACAATTTACGATGGATGCTTTCAAATTATACACCTGACCAACCAATATATTTTGGCAAACGTTTCAAACTTTTTGTCAAGCAGGGCTACATGAGTGGTGGAGCTGGTTATGTACTGAGCAAGGAATCTTTGCAACGCTTTATAGAGGGGTTTCACAAAGGGATCTGCTCTCACAAGTCAGCAGTGGAGGACCTGGAACTGGGTCAGTGTATGGAGAACATGGGGGTTATAGCTGGAGATACCAGAGACAGCGAAAAAAGAGAGAGCTTCCATCCATTCACACCTGATTTTCATTTGTTTGGTCATTTTCCTGAAGATAACGCCTACTATCAGTACTCTTATTACCCTATCATAGAGGTGAGTTTAACACATATTTTTTTTTGTTAGGTTATGGTAAATAAGCCACTGAATTTTGACAATTGTACATTCACAATATTTAATATGGTATTATTACTGTTATACAAGTCACCAAAAAAAAAAAAAACCCCGGCTGAGATCCTTCTCTCTTCCGGTTTCTGACATCACACAGTGGGAGGAACAAACTCAATTCCTCTCACTGTGTTTAGGGAAGTTGATGCCACTGGTAGCATCCTTACTGGGCTCCCCAAATGCTCAGCAGAGCTGGATAATGGTGGCGGTGGGAAGAGGGTGAGACCTCCTTCCACCACCTGTAAAAGCAATCCACTGGCTTCTTATATATCTGCTAAGATTACTTTTACAATGAAGGGAATCACTGGCAGAAGAAAAAATTATACCTTGATCTTTGCTGCAGTTGCACTTATGACTGAGATATCACCCTTCTAGTCTAGCAACATACTGGTACTTCACTGGTCGGCAAGTGGTTAATACCTCTGTCAAGTTTTTATTGCTACCTTTGTCCCTGCCACATAGATTACCTTTCCTATTTGTCCTGGTGCAAGAATCCCTTCAATAGAAAGTAATGGAAAATCTGATCTTTTTGAGTTGCCACCAGAAGAAAAGGGGAGAGTTAATCATCCATTGGAGACACCTGATCCAGTGTCAGTTGTCTAAAGCCCTGTACATACGTGCCGAATTATGGTACACGTGTACTGCTGTCTGGTCAACATAAGCTGGTCATCTTGCTCCATCTTGTTCCCCTGTCAAAATACAATAGCACAGCAGGAGGGATCCCTGCATCACACATCATTGTGTTGAAGCAGGGATCCATCAGTTTTTTTCATTTCAACCTGCTGGTTGAATGAAAAAAAAGAGTGAAATTCTGATGACTTTGTAGAGATTACCTCTTACATTCTGTAGCCTCTTTAGAACAGGAAGGTAAGGCAAAGCTTCCCAATGGAAGACAGCAACATTTAAACTGCCGGGATTGAACTTTTCCCTACTATTATCAAAACAAAATAAGTTTAGACTATACATATATACTTTGAAGCTTCTTGCCTTTTACATGCTTATTTCTACTATTACAAGGACCCTGCACCTCTGAAAATACAAATTGTCTGGCTGTGTTGCTGATCCAATGTATTTGGTACTTCCTGTCACTAACCCGAACATGTATGCAGGTTAGTTGTTCTGTATAAGCAAACAAAAGCTGGCACTCTGGTGTATACGCTGCAATCTTGTGTTTATTGTTGGGTAACAGATGACAGTCACAAATGTCAACGCATTTCAGCCAAACTGGTCTTATTCATAGACATGTGCAGAATTAAAAAATGTAATTAGTTTTAGTTTTGGATCATTGGATAGGTTACTCATTTTGTATTTTTGTATTTGTAACAAAAATCGTTTTGTTTCTTGGTTTTGACCGGATTAAAATTTTTCCAATAAATTTGAAGTATTCGAATCTAACTCAAATCAAAAGTATGGAATTGATCCAAATTCATTGTGAAGAATAGCTGGTTCTATTGTATTTTAATTTTGGAAGACAGTTATATTCTTTCTATTTTATTCTAATCTATTCTTTTTTTTTCTATTCTATTCCTTAATTTTTTATTCTAATATTTTCTTTTTATATTATGTTCTACTTTATTCTATTCTATTCTGTTTTTATTCCATTCTATCCTTTGCTAAATTTGAATTTTGGAAGACAGCTATAGTCATTCTATTCTATTAAATTTTTTTTTTTTTTTATTATTATATCTTTTATTAATAAAAGATATTCAATTGTTTCTATTTTATTCTATTATTTTCTATTCTTTTTTGTTCTATTCCATTCTATTCTTTTCTTTTCGATTTCTTTATTTTCTATTCTATTTTCTTCTATTCTTTTACTTTCTATTATATTCTTTTATGTTCTGTTTTACTCTATTTTATTCTGTTCGAAATTCAAATTTCGGAAGACTGCTAAATTCTAACACTTATACACATAGTCTTTGAAGGAAATCAACAATAGTCAGCAATATTTTTATTTTTTTCGTATTTGTTTTTGAATTTGAGCCAAATTCAGTTCGAATTTTGGACAAAATTTTGTTTTATTATTTTGGATTCGTTTAAATTTGTCACTATTGTAATTCGGGATTGTGGATACATCTGAGTCTCCAAATAACTAAATTTAATCTAAATTTCGAACTGCATATGTTTATGTCTTATTCATTTCTAACACTATGCTTTAAATATGCTGCTTAAATAGTGCACATTGATTAAGGGTGTAATTAAAAACATATGATTTCAATAAACTATATACAAACAGACACATTGATAAAACATAACAAAAGGAAGCCTTCTGGATCAAGGAAAGCCTACAAAGAGTTAAAACCTTTATGGTGTTAACCCTTTACTTGTATGTGCCACAAAAGGACACAGTGGATGTAACGCAGGTAAATCTCACAAATGAAAACAAATGCATGCTAAAACTATGCAGTGCTGGGTAAAGGGAAATATAAATGTAATATCAAATGGAGGGAAATATAGATATACATGTACAGTACCAAATATGAAAAAATATATACCCTGTTTCCCCGAAAATAACAGTGTCTTATATTAATTTTTGCTCCCAAAGATGCGCTAGGTCTTATTTTCAGGGGATGTCTTATTTTTCCATGAAGAAGAATACGGTACACATATATTGTTAAATGAAAATAAAGGAAATTTATTACCTGTATACGGTACGGTAGTACGGTAGTTGTCAACACAAACCAGACAAACTGTGAATCCTACAGTATCAAGAATTAACTCATTTATTCAATGACAATCATGTCATCATCTTCTGGAACATCATCATAACAGGCAGGCCCCAGGGGGGAAATGTCTGATAAAGGGGTGGGGGGGATGTCTGGTGAAGGTGTTCAGTGGCACAGGGGTGGGGGGAGGGGGAACACTTAAAATGACACAGGGGGGATCAGAGGGGGGAATCAAAATGGCACAGGAGAATCAGAGGGGGGATTACCATTTTAGTAACCCCTTTTGATCCTCCTGTGTCATTTTGATTGTCCCCTCTGATCCTCCTGTGTCATTTTGATTGCCCCCTCTGATCCTCCTGTATCATTTTAAGTGATCCCCCCGCCCCCCACCCCTGTGGCACTGAACACCTTCACCAGACATCCCCCCACCCCTTTATCAGACATTTCCCCCCTGGGGCCTGCCTGGGGACTGTCACTGGGCTGGCTGGGGCCTGGACCTGGGCTAGAGCAGGGTCTGCCACTGACTGAGAACCTTCAGTCATCATGAGGGCAGCCGCAAGCATCAGGCAGTGTCACCAGAGACAGACCAGCACTCACCACCTTCGCTGCGTCCCGTCCGCTCTGATCCTCCTGTTCTTCTACACGCATCTGCGAAAGTCTCCTCCTCTCTCCCGCCCCGCGTTCACGGCTCACTCTGACCTCCGCTCCGCCTCCACACAGCAGTGACGTCAGGACTCCGCGTAACATCACTGGTTGCTAGACGCCAGTGGGGGCGGGCGGCCCTAGCAACTAGTTTACGGTAAATTAATTTTCATTCCGAAACAGAGCCTATTTGGGGGGGCCTTATTTTCGGGGGGATGCCTTATATTTCACCCAGAAGGAAACCTGTAAGTAGGTCTTATTTTCGGAGGATGTTTTATTTTCGGGGGAAACACGGTAATAAAACACATGTAAACATACATCTTCACTCTTGGGAAGGCAGGCAGACGCAAAATGAAATTATGTCACACCTGTCTTTTCTGAAGTACAGCTATCACAAATGAAAACAAATGCATGCTAAAACTATGCATTGCTGGATAAAGGTAAATAGGAATGTAGTTTTGAAATAGAGAGAAATGAAAATATAGATATGCATGTGCAGTACCAAAATTGAAAAAAAATTAATTATAAAATTCATGTAAACATGCATGTACAGGCTTAGGGAGGCAGGCTGAGGCAAAATTAAATTATGTCACACCTGCCTATCTGAGGTACACATTTCACAAATGAAAACAAACATATGCTAAAACTTTACAATGCTGGATAAAGGGAAATATAAATGTAATATCAAATGGAGGGAAACAAAAAAATATAGATATGCATGTGCAGCACCCAATATTAACCACTTGCCCTCCAGATGATTCCCCCCCCCCCCCCCCCCCGCCTGACCAGGTAATTTTTGCGTGACGGTGCTGCGTTACTTTAACTGACAATTGCGCTGTTATGCAATGCTGCACCCAAATGAAATTAGGTCCTTTTTTCCCACGAATTGAGCTTTCTTTCAGTGGTATTTGATTGCCAGTTTTTATTTTTTGCACTATAAAAAAAAAAGACTGACAATTTGAGAGAAAAATATTTTTGACTTTTTGCTATTAAAAATGGCAGTAAAAAAAACTTACTAAATCAAATTTTGTCATAAATGTAGGCCAAAATGTATTCTTCTACATGTCTTCGCTAAAAAAAATCCCAATACATGTGAATTAATTGGTTTACATGAAAGTTATAGCATTTTCAAAATATACATATATATATATATATATATATATATATATATATACAGTGGGGATCAAAAGTTTGGGCACCCCAGCTAAAAGTTTGTATTAATGTGCATAAAGAAGCCAAGGAAAGATGGAAAAAATCTCCAAAAGGCATCAAATTAAAGATTAGACATTCTTATAATATGTCAACAAAAGTTAGATTTTATTTCCATCATTTACACTTTCAAAATAACAGAAAACAAAAAAATGGCGTCTGCAAAAGTTTGGGCACCCTGCAGAGTTAACATCTTGTACTGCCCCCATTGGCAAGTATCACAGCTTGTAAATGCTTTTTGTAGCCAGCCAAGAGACTTTCAGTTCTTGTTTGAGGTATCTTTGCCCATTCTTCCTTACAAAAGTCTTCCAGTTCTTTGAGATTTCTGGGCTGTCTGTCACGCACTGCTCTTTTAAGGTCTATCCATAGATTTTCAATTATGTTGAGGTCAGGAGATTGTGAAGGCCATGGCAAAACCTTCAGTTTACGCCTCTTGATGTAATCCCCCGTGGATTTCGAGGTGTGTTTAGGATCATTATCCATTTGTAGAAGCCATCCTCTCTTTACCTTCAGCTTTTTCATAGATGGCATCAAGTTACCATCCAAAATTTGCTGAAATTTTATTGAATCCATTTTTCCTTCTACTCGTGAGATGTTCCCTGTGCCACTGGCTGCAACACAACCCCAAAGCATGATTGATCCAACCCCATGCTTAACAGTTGGACAGAGGTTCTTTTCATTAAATTCTGTGCCCCTTCTTCTCCAAACGTACATTTGCTCATTCCGGCCAAAAAGTTCAATTTTAACCTCATCGGTCCACAGAACTTGTTTCCAAAATGCATCAGGCTTGTCTATATGTTCATTTGCAAAGTTCAAACAATGATTTTTGTGGTGAGGACGTAGAAGAGGTTTTCTTCTGATGACTCTTCCATGAAGACCATATTTGTACAAGTATCTCTTTATAGTGGAATAGTGTACCACAACTCCAGTGTCTGATACATCTTTCTGGAGGGATCGTGCAGTCAAACGTGGTTTTGAATAGTTTTTCTCACAATCCTGCAAGCTATTCTGTCTGATATTTTTTTCTTGGTCTTCCAGATATTGCTTTAACTTCCACTGTTCCTGATTACTGCCATTTCTTAATTACATTCCTAACAGAGGATATTGACATCTGAAAACGCTTTGCTATCTTTTTATAGCCTTCTCCAGCTTTGTGAGCGTCAACTATTTTCAGTTTCAGTTTTCTAGACAACTGCTTAGAAGAACCCATGGTGCTGATTGTTGGGGCAAGGTCAGATGAGTCTGGGCATTTAAAACCTTTGAGATTGACATCACCTGGTCTTCCCAGACGATGATTGAGAACAATCCATGACATTGGCAGGTCTCAGCTTGGCAAAGGGGGCAGTGCATGCTATAAATTCTGCAGGGTGCCCAAACTTTTGCAGACGCCATTTTTTTGTTTTCTGTTATTTTGAAAGTGTAAATGATGGAAATAAAATCTAACTTTTGTTGACATATTATAAGAATGTCTAATCTGTAATTTGATGCCTTTTGGAGATTTTTCCATCTTTCCTTGGCTTCTTTATGCACATTAATTAAAATATTTAGTTGGGGTGCCCAAACTTTCGATCTCCACTGTATATATATACTGGGATTTTTTTTTTTTATTTTTTCCTAGTAATGGCGGCGATCAGCGACTTATAGTGGGACTGCTGCAGGCATGCTGACACTGGGGGAACTGGCTTGGTGTCACCGACATCCCCAGTGACACCAATACAGTGATCAGTGCTAATAAAAAGCACTGACACTGTACAAATGGCACTGAGCAGGAAGGGGTTAACATGAGGGGTGATCAAAGGGTTAATAGTGTGCTGTTTTACTATGGGACTGTGTCTGTGTGCTTCACTGTAAGCACACTGCTCAGCACAGCCATGCAAAGCAGTGTGCGCAAGCTGACAGAAAGGGGAACTGTTTTGTTTACTAACAGTTCTCCCCCTGTCAGAGATCCTCAGCAATCACCGGGCGCTGGCAACTGATCACCGGCCGGAACCCAATGATTGACAGCTGCGACCAAGAATGGCGGCACGGGTAGGGTGCACAGAAATGCAAAAGCGCGTATATATACATACTTTTGCGCACCTTTGTTGTCCTGTAGCAGTGTATATCTCCCACCTGTGATTTAAACCACTGGGGGTGCGGGTCTGCACCTCGCATATCCACCTAACTTCTCAGTTTTTTATGTCTATTACCTTCTCTCTTTCCAGAGTAAACTCTCCATGCAACACAAAGCATAAGATCTCATATTACCCCCTCTTGAAAGTGTCTTGTTCTGGTGGCTGGCTTGGATTCAAAACAACTAGATAATAAAAGAGAGCGCAGGGTAGGTGCTTTGTGGCTGGAGGACTGCACACCATCAGATAACACATTATACCTACTTTGGTCAGAATAGAGAGGGTAGATTTTTGTTGATAATATCCACAGTCTGTTTGTATTCTATAGAATATGTTGTAATGAAGGTATTGCCCCTACTTTGTTTCCAGGGTCATACAGAATCTTTATTCTTACCACAGAGGAGATCCTTTCTAGACTGCTGCTATTTTGTAGCCCCTATCAATGCTCCAATCAGGATATTCCCGCTCTTTAAAGCGGAACTTCACTCTCTCAATTAACACAGACTATTTTTAATCCTTATGCTGCTAGTAGTAGTAAATAGAAGGTATATTATATTTACTTGTTTTAAACTTTTTATTTTTCATTTCTTCAGTTACTTCCTGGTTTCCATGGCTAGGAAAATGTTGTCATCCCAGCAGTCTTCAGGAGGGAGGGTTCTCAGCGCAGCCTATGCCAGAGCTAAGGGCATATGGATTTTAGGAAGTAAATGCTACATAAATCATCTGCCCTTACTCAAGATGGCCACTGCCAGAAATGCCAGGGTGTGTTTTTCATAATGATTTCTCAGCAAAATAAAGCATGGAGACATGGATGGATGGGTGTATTTTCTTTGAATATTAAAAATGAATGAAATAGCATTTTGCGGTGGTTTGTGGTGCTCAGATGCAGTGTAGTTCCACTTTGAGTGTGTGTTTAATAATTTCACACTCCTCATAGAAAGTAGTATCTGTGGAGCAATTCCTCCTGGCCCTAATGAATTCTCCCACAGGGATTGATCTAAGGACCAAGGATGGCAGCTGTTTGCCAGCAAAACAGAATTGCTTGCACATCTTTTCCTATACGTCCAAGTGTGAAAAAGACCTGTATGTATATTGCCTTCCAGGGTGACATCTAGAAAATGTATCTTCTTGTAAACAGGGTTCTTTCATCCAGATTAGCTGAACCTGAACTACATCACTCAAGAGGACTGGCAAAGGGGCGGGAGCATTTATGAAGGAAAAATCCCAAGAACCAGGGGGTAGATGGGATCCATGGTAGGCCAGGCTAGATCAGGTCAAGCCGTGAGGTTGCAGAGCTACCTCAGAGAGAAAGCTGATCCTCCTGAGGTGGAAGGATTAGCAGAACCAGGCGGATCAGGTCATCATCATCTACACAGCCCTATAAGAGGACTGATGAAGAGGACCCCCCCCCCCTCCAAATGGAAGGTCATTGTTTCACCCTGGTGAGCTGTGGAACTGAGTGAGAGAGTTCTCATCCACCCAATGCTGCAATTGCCTTCAAGCTTGTTGTTGCATTTAGTTGCTTAGGGCATAGACAGTATAACCCATCCAGTGCTGCAGTCTAACCTACTTAATGCTTTTATCAACACTGATTGCAGGACACCAGGGTTCACCTCTTTGCTTCCCTGTTTGGCAGAAATTCTACACCCACCCTACTTCAGACTTGAACCATCCAAGGTAGAAAATTCAACAAACAATCCATTTTCCCATTTCTTTTTTACTTTCAGAACAGGCGTGCAGTTTTCCAGACACAGAGCACCTACCCTGCGCTCTCTTTTATCACCTAGTTATTTTGAGTCCAAGTTAGCCACCAGAACATTTTTGTCTACCACAGGCTTCTCTAGATGTGGTTCAAATACATGTAAAAATTGCAGGATTCATGTGGTTAGTAAGTTTTGTTTCATCAGCCACCCACAAGGAATATTTCATGAAACAATATATAAATTGTAGTGATGGGCCGAACACCCCCCTGCTTGGTTCGTGGTCGAACATTCGAACCTAACGTAAGTTTTACCGCGAACTTCAAACTCAATGCAAGTCTATGGGACTCCAACTTGTATATTCAAAAGTGCCCATTTTAAAGGCTTATGTACTGCCTTGAAGGACATGAATCGGTGAAAAAAAAAAATTCAAAAAAGTTTAAAATTTTTTAAAGGGGCAGTCATTTTTCATTGCTTAAAGTAAAAAAAAAAAAAAAAAAAAAAAAGAAAGAAAAATGCCTTTAAATATCATGCCTGTAAAATTGCACATCTGTACAGTGTATAGAACCTGCTGCAGCAGCAGGACTCACATTTTTTTTTTTTAAATGACATTTTTATAAAAAAAAAAACCCCAAAAGAAACAGTTTGGGGTTCACCTTAAAAGCCATATCAGGCCCTTTAGGCCTAGGGGGAAAGAGCGTGGGGTGTCCACTAAATTCCTACCAGACCCTTTATCTGAGCACAGGCCTAGCAGGACAGGAAAGGGGGGAAAACAACTGAGCCCCCCTTCCTGTGACTTACCAGGCCACGTGCCTTTGGCATTGAGTTGATGTCCCCATGCCGATAGGGACGAAGGCCTCTTCCCCACAACTCTGGGGCTGTGTGGTTGTGGGGGGGTGACTTTAATAAGGGGGCCCCCATATCCCACCCCACCTTGTGAATGAGTATGGGGTACATAGTACCACTACTCATTCACCAAGAAAATGTACAATGTGAATAAAAACACAACAGTTTTTGACATGTCCTTTATTTAAAAAAAAAGCAAAAAATGGTTCCATCATTGTAATCCATCATCAATATTGGTGTCCAGCATTGTCACGATGATGGCGGTGTCATTGCTAGCTGTGCCCCATTGCATTGCACCTGACCTGTGGTCAGGTGCATTTATTTGGCCAATCACAATGCACTGTAAGAGTTCAATGCATTGTGGGGCGTGGCGAGTGAGCAGCCCACTGAACACCCTTACCGTTTGTGTGTTCATCGAACACACAAATGGCCAATGTTCCAGTCAAACTTACATTGGACTCGAACATCATAGGCCATCACTGATAAATTCTGGTTCTACCTATGTTTTTATCTTATTGAATGTACCACATGTACACTGCAATATATTGGTAGCACAACATTGGAGCACTTTGGACCTGGATAGGGGAACATTATTGCAATAGTGGCAATTCCAATGGCCATTATGTATCACATGTGTCCAGGCACTTTTGAGAGGTGCATGGGGGTGATATGAGAGCTTTTATTTTTTGTGGCATAGAGAAAGTTTGTTCTGGGAAGACGGGAGGTGATAGACATAAAAAACTGTTAGAGTGAGAGGATTGGCGGATATATAAGATGCAGACCAGCATCCTGGTGGTTTGAATCACAGGTGGGACATGGACCTGTACCCCAGATAGGCAGGTGTGACATCATTTTATTTTGCGTAAGCCTGCCTCCCCAAGCCTGTACACCGTGTTCCAAATTATTATGCAAATGATATTTTTCTCATTTACCTAAATAATTGATGTAAATAACAGTCAGCATAATTCTCATGTTATCAACTATTAAGAGTAGAGATGAGCGAATTTCTCAAAAATTCGATTCGGCTGATTCGGCGAATTCCAGTGTGAAATTCGATTCGATGCGAATTTCTTCGCTACGAAGATGACTTATAAAAAGGGTTTCTAGGCTTCAGAGAGCCTTTAAATTAGTGCAGAACACTGTACCTTTAATTTAAATGCCCTTGGAGATGAGGAAAGAGAAGAGAAGGAGAAGAAGGATGAGAAGAAGAAGAGAAGGAGAAGAAGAGGAAGAAGGAGAAGAGGACGGATGAGAAGAAGGAGAAGGAGAAGGATGAGGCGAATTGAGAAGAAGGAGAAGGCAGAGGATGAGAAGAGAAGGAGAAGGAGAAGAAGGAGGTGAGGGAAGAAGGAGAAGGATGAAGGAGAAGAGGAGAGAGGAGAAGAAGGAGGAGGAGAAGGGAGAAGAAGGGAGAAGGATGAGAAGAAAGAACGAGAAGGAGGAGAAGGAGAAGGATGAGAAGAAGGAGAAGGAGGAAGGAGAAGGAGAAGGAGAGAGAAGGTGGAGAAGAAGGAGAGAAGAAGAAGGAGAAGGATGAGAGAGAGGATGAGAAGAAGGAGAAGGATGAGAAGAAGGAGAAGGAAGGATAGGATGAGAAGAAGGAGAAGGGAGAATGAAGGTGAAGAGATGAGAAGAAGGAGAAGGATGGCGAAGGAGAAAGAAGGTATGGGAAGAAAGGAGAAAGGGAGAAGAAGGAGAGACAGAAGGGAGGACGAGCGAAGAAGGATGGAAGGATGGGAGAAGGAGAAGGATGAGAAGAAGATGGAAGGATGAGAAGAAGGAGAAGGATGAGAAGGAGGGAAGGAGCTAGAAGAAGGAAGAAGAAGGAGAGGAGAAGGAGAGGGTGGCAGGAGGGAGAAGGATGAGAAGAAGGGAGAAGGATGAAGGACAGAGGAAGGATGAGAGGCGAAGAGAAGAGGAGAAAGGAACAGGAAGAAAAAGAAGGAGGAGGAAGGCCGGAGGAGGGGGGAAGGAGTTAGGATGAGAAGCAAGGGGTCAGGATGGAGAAGGAGTGTGAGAGATGAAGAAAAGGAGGCAGGAGAAGGAAGGAGAAGGATGAGGGGAAGGAGAAGGAGTTATGGAGCATCGAAGAAAGCGGAGAAAAAGGAGGGAAGAGGGGGAAAGACGGGAGG